CTAGCTTTACAATATATGTTGGGATCTATCAACTTTGGTGTGTGTGTGTATACACGCACATCTTCGGTGATTCTCAGTGGAAGGAGGGGGTTGTGATTGACATCATGAACAAGATAATTCTTGGTTCTTCAAGACTGTATCATTTGTAGGATGTTAAGCATCCCTGACACCCTCTCACAAAATAACAATAGCACCCCACCTCCCTGCCCTCATTGTCTGGCAACCAAAAATATGCTCACGCCTTTTCAAACACTTCTGATTAACTTTTTACATAATCTCATCCTTTTAGCACTCAGCTTTATTTATCATCTCCATGTTGATGGACATTTAGGATGACTCTAGATTTTTTACTCTTACAAACAATTCTGCAGTGAACACCCTTGTTCATATTTTCTTCTGCTCACGTGTGGGTGTTTCACTAGGTGGAAACTAGAAGAGGAATCACTGGTCATATGTGCAGGTTCAGTTACACCCTATGTGCTAAATTCCCCTCCAACTTAGACCCTTATCAACAATGGACAATAATAGCCATTGCCCAAATTCTCCAATACTTAATACTATCTAACCCTTTCATTATAACTGATCTGGTGGATAGAGAAAAATATCACATTATTGTTTTAATCTGCATTTCTCTGATTAACAGTGAGATTATTTATTTGAAACACATCTTTCCTCTTCTGAAAAACACATATACTTTCTCTTCTTTACATGTGTATGTTTTGATCTTTACTATATATCCTTTATAATCAGAATAAAAGGTAATACACACTTAAAAAAAAAAAAAAAAACAGGTTATCTTTCAAGACCTATACAGATGTTGGCTCATTCATGGAATCTGATTTTGATCCTTCTTCTCAGAACATCCCTTGGGTACTTTATTCTCTCTTGAATATCGTTTGCAATATGCTTGTCTTATCCTCCTGACTAGATTAAGGGTTACTTGTCACCCAGTATGTGGCTTTTTCATTTTTGTTCCCTTTGACCTGCTTAGCACAATGCCTTGCATGGATTTGAAGCAATGATTGAAGGCAGAAAAGGTTGATTATGCGAAAACTACCAACTTAACTCTATTTTTAACTTTTATGGACACAGTCTTGAGTCATCCTTATCAAAACTGGACATATTTCTACAAAGGATACACAATGTCATTAGGATATATATTCACTCCCCTGGAAGAAATGCTCATCAGAATGTTCCTGGAAAGGAACGCTTAACTCAATTAAAAGGGGAAGTTTAGGTTTTTATGGAAAAGCTATTTGGGGAATGAAGATCCTTATTGCACCGTTGACATCATGGAATGTAGGTGGCTGCCTGGAAAGCTCTATACTGGGCTTGCCCAGGCCCTGGAGTCTGTAGAATCCTGAAAAGGCAATATTGACTCAAGCAAAGCTGCCACCAAGGAATTGCAGTCTCCAAGATTTTTCCAGACTGCAGCATAGTGTGATTCTTCCTGCATTATATTCAAGTATTTCTTATGTATTTATGGTATATAGTTATTGTTTTTTAAGTTATCATTAAAACATTATTAGTAAAAACTGTTATCAGGCTATAATTAGATGTTAGAAGAATTCTATAAATGCTTTAAACACAAGCTTCCAATTCTATTGAAAATAATCCAAAGGAATGTCCAAATCCTTTAAATGTTTTGGAATTTTACGAATCAAATATTGCTTTAAATAAACAACTGTTATCAGGCTATATAACTAGATGTCAGAAGAATTCTATAAATGCTTTAAACAAAAACTTCCAATTCTATTGAAAAGAATCCAAAGGAATGTCCAAATTCTTTAAATGTTTTGGAATTTTGCGAATCAAATATTGCTTTAAATAAACAATCTACTGGCTCAAACTGAAACATATGCTGAAATGTTTATTATAAAACTAATTATTGGCAAAATATATCTAAGTTTTAATAACCTTGTAGAAACTCCACCTATCAAAAAGAATTAGAATTTTGGCTTCAGTTGAACTTGAAGTTTATTATTGCTTCACTTACAATTCTTCCAATTGTTCTTTGAAAGCATTTTGTGGTGAACAGATTTGAACTTGTCTGGGAATCAATTCAATGAATGGAGCTGCTTTGGGTAAATAGCTCTGTGATTATTCTTATAAAATGTGTTTCATGCCATTGCTTTCAGCTAGCAAGTATATTTCTAATATAGGATGAAAGCATCTCTGCCCCAAAGATAAAATATGCTAAGAAACATGCATTAGGAAATACAGATTTAGAAAATAGGTATCCTGGAGACTTATACAGAAACTTCCTTCCACAGATGCACTTACGTTTACTCTTTATTACTCAGGCTAAAATTTTATGCCACAGGGATGTCACAGTGGATGCCGGTGTGGTTCGTGACAGCAAGATCCCTTAATGCCAGAACAGGGCTATTCCTCAAAGCGTTTTTACACTATACATACCTCTTTAATAGCATTTAGTTCATCACACTGACACTTGTATAATTGCCTGTCTCTTTCATCTTCACTGACCTAAACTGTGGTCCCTAGCAGTCAGCAACTACCCCTGCTATCTAGCTTTCTGTTATCTAATCTAAATAAAAAGTAACAAAAATTATATTTGAGCAATAAGAAAATCATGCCACAGAGAGTAAACTGAAAGCTACGGCTTTGTGGATCTCAATGGCTTCCTGGTAGCAATTAATGCATACTAAGCACAGGCTTTATGGAGCACATCACCCGTGTTAATGTGTGCAGGACTCACAACTGGCCTATGCGGTATGCCTACTTGTCATACTATTTTATTTATTTATTTATTTATTTATTATTATTTTTTTGAGACGGAGTCTCGCTCTGTCTCCCAGGCTGGAGTGCAGTGGCCCGATCTCGGCTCACTACAACCTCCATCTCCCAGGTTCAAGCGATTCTCCGGCCTCAGCCTCCTGAGTAGCTGGGAATACAGGCATCCGCCACCACTCCCGGCTAATTTTTGTATTTTTAGTGGAGACGGGGTTTCACCATATTGGCCAGGCTGGTCTCGAACTCCTGACCTTGTGATCTGCCCACCTCGGCCTCCCAAAGTGCTGGGATTACAGGCTTGAGCCACTGCGCCCGGCCTTGTCATACTATTTTAAACATGAGGAATCAAAGCTCAGATTTGTTAAGTAACATGTCCAAGGCCATACAGCTAGTAAGAGGTGCCAACTGGATTGGAATCCAGGCAAAGCAACCCCCGGGGCCACAATCCTAATCATCACATTGCATGCCTCTATGACATCGTTTAAAAGAATGTGAATGACCTGTTATTGGAGAAAAGAAATATGGTGCAGAGCAATATGCCTAGAAAATAAAAAGAATAAATAATGCTCTTATGTTTGTAGAATCAGGAGTAGGGGTACACACCCAATGCCTCTAGATATGTAGACAATCTTTTTTTTTTTTTTTTTGAGATGGAGTCTCACTCTGTCACCCAGGCTGGAGTGCAGGGGCGCGATCTCGGCTCACTGCAAGCTCCGCCTCCTGGGTTCATGCCATTCTCCTGCCTCAGCCTCCTGAGTAGCTGGGACTACAGGCACCTGCCACCATGCCTGGCTAAATTTTTGGTAATTTTAGTAGAGATGGGGTTTCACTGTGTTAGCCAGGATAGTCTCAATCTCCTGACCTTGTGATCCTCCCACCATGTGTAGACTATCTCTTAAGAGGAAGCACAGGAAAATGGTTACCATAGTGTCCTCTAGGAAAGGAGCAGGGAGCCTGAAGGCCAAGGGTGAGGAAAACATGTTTTGCTATGTCTCCTTTTGGACAAGTTGGACTTTTTTTTTTTTTTTTTTTTTTTTTACCATAGATATATATTACCTTTTCTAAAACACAAAGATCAATTTGAATCTCCTTGTGGCATTCCCTAGCTCTTCAGATGTTTGTCAGGCTGAAACAGTACTTGATGGCATTTATTTCATACTATAATTGCTTCCATCCAGCTTCGTTTCACTCATGACAATAGACTTTAGTATTATAGCTCAGAGGTTAAGCCATGAAAAAGTACCACACTTGAAAAAGAGTGTGAGAAAACAAAAAAGAAAAAAGGAAGAGGCAATTTGTCAAAGCCTATTTTGACTTGGACTTTAAACCAATTCTGATTACAAAGCAACACTGTATTAGTTTGTGAGGGCTGCTATAACGAAGAACCACAGCCTGGGCAGCTGACTATAAGAAATCCATTGCCTCATAGTTCTGAAGGCTCAAAGTTGGAAATCAAGGTGTCAACAGGATTGGTTCCTTCCAAGGGTCATGAGGGAGAATCTATTCCAGGTCTCTTCCCGTGGCTTGCAAGTGACTGTCATGTTCATGTGGTGTTCTCCCCATAGGCAAGTCTGTCTCCTGATTTTCCCTTTTACAAGAGGAAACCAGTCATATTGAATTAGGGTTCACTCTAATGACCTCTTTTTTTTTTTTTTTTGAGATGGAATTTCACTGTGTTGCCCAGGCTGGAGTGCAATGGCATGATCTTGGCTCATTGCAACCTCCGTCCACCAGGTTCAAGTGATTCTGCTGCCTCAGCCTCCCGAGTAGCTGGGATTACAGGCGCCTGCCACCATGTCAGGCTAATTTTTGTGTTTTTAATGGAGACGGAGTGTCACCATGTTGGCCAGGCTGGTCTCAAACCCCTGACCTTAAGTGATCTGCCTGCCTCGGCCTCCCAAAGTGCTGGAATTACAGGCGTGAGCCGCCACACCCAGCCATGGCCTCATTTTAACTTGGTAAAGACCCTGTCTCCAAACAAGGTCACATTTTGAGGTACTGGGAGGTTAGCCCTTCAACATAAGAACCTTCAGGACACAATTCAACCCATGTCACACTACTACTAGTCAACTCTGGGCTCTCCTTTCAACCCCACCCAGCAATTTCCTTGTCCTGATGTTGAGAGCTGAATCTCTGGGCTACTTATCTTGAAGAATGTTGCTAGCTAATCTTTGCGAGGAAAAGCCAGTGCAGGGGAGTCATGCCATGGTTTGGCCTGAGTGAAAGCGCTGTTCCCTCTTTTCTAGGTGGTATCACGGCAACCTCACGCGCCATGCTGCCGAAGCTCTTCTCCTCTCAAATGGGTGTGACGGCAGCTACCTTCTGCGGGACAGCAATGAGACCACTGGGCTGTACTCTCTCTCCGTTAGGTAAGGTGCTTCAGGGCTCTATGACTTCAGCATGGGCTCCTCTGTCACTTACTGACTTTATCATCACTCAAACTGTCAGATAGCAAAACTTCCCAATTCCTGTTAGACCACCAAGTTAAAGGATTCCAAACTCTAAATGATAAAGGTATAAAAAAATTCCTGCTCCATTCATTAGCAGGAAAAAAATTGTTAGAGCTGGAGGAGACATGAGGAATTATTTGATACAAACCTTTCATGGGGCTGTTGAAGAATCTGAAACCCAAAGCGGTGGAATGTCTGGTACTCCAAAAATCAACAATAGAAACAGTGCCAGAATCCAGATTCCTGACACCTGGCTGAGTGCCCTTTTCACTATTCCCTGATTTATCTGTAAATGCAGAATGGATTTATGACTGTACAGCTTTCATAGTCACAACCTCAAGCAGGTAATATGCAACTTTACAATTTTTCCTATAGTGTGCTAACTTTTCTTTTCTTTTTTTTTTAAAATTTATTTATTATTATTATACTTTAAGTTGTAGGGTACATGTGCATAACGTGCAGGTTTGTTACATATGTATACTTGTGCCATGTTGGTGTGCTGCACCCATCAACTCGTCATTTACATCAGGTATAACTCCCAATGCAATCCCTCCCCCCTCCCCACTCCCCCCTCCCCATGATAGGCCCCGGTGTGTGATGTTCCCCTTCCTGAGTCCAAGTGATCTCATTGTTCAGTTCCCACCTATGAGTGAGAACATGTGGTGTTTGGTTTTCTGTTCTTGTGATAGTTTGCTAAGAATGATGGTTTCCAGCTGCATCCATGTCCCTACAAAGGACACAAACTCATCCTTTTTTATAGCTGCATAGTATTCCATGGTGTATATGTGCCACATTTTCTTAAACCAGTCTGTCACTGATGGACATTTGGGTTGATTCCAAGTCTTTGCTATTGTGAATAGTGCCGCAATAAACATACGTGTGCATGTGTCTTTATAACAGCATAATTTATAATCCTTTGGGTATATACCCAGTAATGGGATGGCTGGGTCATATGGTACATCTAGTTCTAGATCCTTGAGGAATCGCCATACTAAGCAACTTCAGCAAAGTCTCAGGATACAAAATTAATGTGCAAAAATCACAAGCATTCTTATACACCAGTAACAGACAAACAGAGAGCCAAATCAGGAATGAACTTCCATTCACAATTGCTTCAAAGAGAATAAAATACCTAGGAATCCAACTGACAAGGGATGTAAAGGACCTCTTCAAGGAGAACTACAAACCACTGCTCAGTGAAATCAAAGAGGACACAAACAAATGGAAGAACATACCATGCTCATGGATAGGAAGAATCAATATCGTGAAAATGGCCATACTGCCCAAGGTAATTTATAGATTCAATGCCATCCCCATCAAGCTACCAATGAGTTTCTTCACAGAATTGGAAAAAACTGCTTTAAAGTTCATATGGAACCAAAAAAGAGCCCGCATCTCCAAGACAATCCTAAGTCAAAAGAACAAAGCTGGAGGCATCATGCTACCTGACTTCAAACTATACTACAAGGCTACAGTAACCAAAACAGCATGGTACTGGTACCAAAACAGAGATATAGACCAATGGAACAGAACAGAGTCCTCAGAAATAATACCACACATCTACAGCCATCTGATCTTTGACAAACCTGAGAGAAACAAGAAATGGGGAAAGGATTCCCTATTTAATAAATGGTGCTGGGAAAATTGGCTAGCCATAAGTAGAAAGCTGAAACTGGATCCTTTCCTTACTCCTTATACGAAAATTAATTCAAGATGGATTAGAGACTTAAATGTTAGACCTAATACCATAAAAATCCTAGAGGAAAACCTAGGTAGTACCATTCAGGACATAGGCATGGGCAAAGACTTCATGTCTAAAACACCAAAAGCAACGGCAGCAAAAGCCAAAATTGACAAATGGGATCTCATTAAACTAAAGAGCTTCTGCACAGCAAAAGAAACTACCATCAGAGTGAACAGGCAACCTACAGAATGGGAGAAAATTTTTGCAATCTACTCATCTGACAAAGGGCTAATATCCAGAACCTACAAAGAACTCAAACAAATTTACAAGAAAAAAACAAACAACCCCATCAAAAAGTGGGCAAAGGATATGAACAGACATTTCTCAAAAGAAGACATTGATACAGCCAACAGACACATGAAAAAATGCTCATCATCACTGGCCATCAGAGAAATGCAAATCAAAACCACAATGAGATACCATCTCACACCAGTTAGAATGGCGATCATTAAAAAGTCAGGAAACAACAGGTGCTGGAGAGGATATGGAGAAATAGGAACACTTTTACACTGTTGGTGGGCTAACTTTTCTTATTGAGTCTCCATTTCTCCCAAATGGTAAGAAAGTTAATCCAGTCCCCACCAGGTTCATCCAGGCAATTGCAATCATTGTCCAGACCTTTCAGGTCCTCCCCACCCCACACCCGCTTCTTCCTGGCTGGCACCCCAGATCAGAGAGGCTGACCGAGCTTCTGGTAGTCAGGGGAGGTGGCTGGTTCTCAGCCAGGATCTGACACTCTGCCTTCCACTGACATGTAGCACGTTTTCTTGGGTTCTTAGGCACTTCTCCATGGATTAGGCAGCGGATGTGAGGACTCCATGAAATTTCCCTCAGCCACCCACCCATTAAGCTCAAACTGTTATTGTGTTACCGTTCTGATGGCACTTCCATATCCCATGGAGAGTCACTCTTCCCTTCATAGTGCAGTCCCTCAAGCTAATCTGGCCTCAGAGGCTCTCTCACTTCTTTTCCACTCTGCACGGTCACTACTTGTCACTAACTCAGTAGCAGCCTTCACACTCTGTCTTTGGGCTCCGGGCCTTGCCTCTATATTCATTTTCTATGCTACATAACAAATTATCAAAAACTTAGGCACTTAAAGTAACACAACTTGATTATCTCAGTTTCTGGCTGGATTCTCTGTCCAGGTCCTGCCAGGCTGGAATAAAGGTGTTGGAGAAGGTTCTGGCTCTGATCTGGCATTCAGTGTCTTCTTCCTTCATTTTCTCCTTTCCTCTTCATTCTTCTTCATCCATTCCCTTCCTGCTGTAGAACTGAGGTCCTCATTTTCCTTTTAGCTGTCAGCCAGAGGGGCATTCTTAACTCTGAGAGGCCACCCACAGTTCTTTGCCACATGGCCCCATGGCTGTTTACCACATCAGTGTTTGCTTTCTTGCATGCCAGCCAGAAAACATCTCCCTGACTTTTTCTTTGATGAGCAGCCAGAGAAAACTCTCTGTTTTACAGGGCTCATGTGATTAGTTTCAGGCCCACTCAGATAATGTCCATATCTTAACATCAACTGACTTAGGACTTTAAGGACCTGCAAAATCCCTTCCCAGTAGCATATAGACTAGCTTTTGATTGAATAATTGGCATAAAGTGTGTACTCCATGGGCTGGGACTTGGGGTCATCTTAAAATGCTGCCTGCCACAGCTCCCATTCCTGGAACAGTGAAAATCTACAGGCCTACTTGAAGTGGGTGTGCGAAACAGGTAGAGGGTGATGGGGTAAGTAGGGGTCACAGAGGAGAAAAAAGCATATTCATTAACATGTCACCCTGTTATATTTTATTTATACATTTTCTGAATAACATAGATGAAAAAATTATTAATCCAAGATGGAATTCTGTTTGAGTGGCAACAAGAATTGTGCTTTCTCTGCTCAACAGCAAATGTCAAAAGTCCATCTAATGGTTAAGTTGTAGATGCTTTATTGCATACACCAGAGGTCCCCAACATTTTTGGCACCTGGGACAATTTTTTCACAGACCGGGGCAGCAGCAGATGGTTTTGGGATGATTCAAGTGCATTACATTTATTGTGTGTTTTATTTCTGTTATTATTACACTGTAATGTATAATGAAATAATTATACAACTCACCGTCATTCAGTATCAGTGGCAGCCCTGAGCTTGTTTTCCTGAAACTAGATTGTCCCATCTGGGGGTGATGGGAGTCAGTAACAGTTCGTCAGGCATTAGATTAACATAGAGGCACACAGCCTAGATCGCTTGCATGTGCAGTTCACAACAGGGTTTGCGCTCCTATGAGAATCTATTGCCTCTACTGATCTGACAGGAGGTGGAGCTCAGTGAGAATGCAAACAATGGGGAGCAACTATAAATACAAATGAAGCTTCACTAGTTCACCCATCACTCATTTTCTTGCTGTGTGGCTGGCAGGGGGATGGATGGGGACCCCTGGCATGAATCTTCCAAAAATGAAAAGTTAATTAACTTTTCACCTATGTATGTCTCATCTGAGCAATTAGACCATAAGCTATTTATAAATCGATGACATATATTTCATATACATAAAGAATAAATTATTGATTTTCATTACAATCACTAGAGAATGCTTATATTAAAAAAATGACCAGCAAAGGTGACAAAAACCACAGACTAATTCAGGAGAATGACTATTTTTGTTTTATGAACAAATATTCACTTATTTGTTCATTCTTTTACTGATGAATATTTGAAAGCATTGATTCTGCACCAGCCACGTTGGTAAGTGCTGTAGAACAGTGGTCCCCAACCTTTTTGGCACCAGGGACTGGTTTTGTGGGAAATGGGGGTTCAGGATGAAACTGTTCCACCTCAGATCATCAGGCATTAGATTCTCATGAGGAGTGTGCAGCCTAGATCCCTCACATGTGTTCACAATAGGGTTCAGGCTCCTGAGACTCTCATGCCTGATCTGACAGGAGGCAGAGCTCAGGCGGTAATGCTCACTCAGTGCTCACCTCCTGCTGTGCGGCCTGGTTCCTAACAGGTACGCGGTCTGCAGTCCCAGGATGGGGGACCCCTGCTGTAGAAGATTCAAATACCTTATTTTGGGGAATTATAGCTTCACAGAGCCAAAAAGACCACATACAAGTAACATACTACAAAGTAGAGGTTGAGAAATAACATACAAGAAAGCAAGATAAGTGTTTAGGTGGTTCAGAAGAGAAAAAGCAATTAACTTTAAGCTGGAATTATCATGTAATACTTGACAGAGGAGGTAGTACTTGAACTGCAACTTAATGAGTGGCTAGGATTTCTACCAGCAGAGACAAAGAGAAACACTGTTTCAGGAAAAAGGAACAGTGTGAACTAAGGGACAGAAGTGGAAACTCCTTGAAGAGCACTAGGTCCAGTTGGACTAGGGCAGCAGTTCTAAAGGTGTGGTCCCCAGACCAGGTGTGTCACCTAAGAACATGCTAGGAATGCACAGTCTCAGGCCCCACCTTGGATCTACCAAATCTGAATCTGCAGGGGTGGAGGTGGAGGTGGCAGCAAGCTGGGTTCTCACAAGCCCGTCAGATGATTCTGATGCATGCTAACGTTGTAGCATGGGCTGCACTGAGAGGAATAGCAGGAAGTGAGGCTAGAAAGATAGAATGGGGTCAAATAAAGTGGAGAGGCAGATATATATATATATATATTATTTAATACTCTGCTCATTTCAAAAATGAAGTGGAAAATGACAACGTAGGAAATTTGATATTTTATTCAGTAGGCAGTGGAACATGCATGGGAGGAAAAGAGCTGGGCTCACATAACTAATCAAGCGACAGAGCTGAATTCTGATTGACTCCCAGACAAGCAAGGGAGAAAAGCCCAAGATGGAGGAGAGTGTGGTGAGGGTGTCATACGTCATTTCTGTCATTCCTATTCTCTGCCCTTCTTAAACTCATGCCCCATTAGCAGCATAATGTTCAAGGACTCTTTTGGTAAGTCTAGGAGTAGATAGGGAGAACAGTCTCTTGTCTTCCATTAGAGTAAAAAGTTGAGGCAGGGCGTGGTGGCTAACACCTGTAATCTCAGCTCTTTGGGAAGCCGAGGCGGGAGGATCACCTGAGGTCAGGAGTTCAAGACAGGCTGGGCCAACATGGCAAAACCCAGTCTTTACTAAATATGCAAAAATTAGCTGGACATCAAGGCAGACACCTCTAATCCCAGCTACTCAGGAGGCTGAGGCCAGAGAATCACTTGAATCCAGGAGGCGGAGGTTGCAGTGAGCTGAGATCATGCCACTGCACTCCAGCCTGGGCGACAGAGCAAGACTCTGTCTCAAAATAATAAATAAATAAATAAAAGTCGAAAAGAGCACACTCTGCCAAAAGAAACTGGTGATGCTCTTTAAAATTGTCAGTGGTTTCAATGATTGTCTAATTCTCAGCTCTTAGAAAGGGTTAATAGTGATGCTAACATCTAAGATCATATTTCCCTTCAACAAGGTATTTAATTGTTAAATAACATTAATTACTTATTTTTCCCTTTTAGGGCCAAAGATTCTGTTAAACACTTTCACGTTGAATATACTGGATATTCATTTAAATTTGGCTTTAATGAATTCTCATCTTTGAAGGATTTTGTCAAGCATTTTGCAAATCAGCCTTTGATTGGAAGCGAGACAGGTAAGCTATGAGCAGACATTTGACCTATGAAATATTGTTTCGGGATGGAGGAGAAACAAGGCAGATTTCAGTTGAAGAATGTCATAGTTGTCATTTATATTTCAACATTATCTTGAGGAGAAAACAATGTACTTTGTATAAAGTAGATATTTTCTCAGAATGTGTTACTTAATGGATTGATTAAAAGCATTTCTTTTTTTTTAATTTATTTATTATTATTATACTTTAAGTTGTAGGGTACATGTGCATAACGTGCAGGTTTGTTACATATGTATACTTGTGCCATGTTGGTGTGCTGCACCCATCAACTCGTCATTTACATCAGGTATAACTCCCAATGCAATCCCTCCCCCCTCCCCACTCCCCCCTCCCCATGATAGGCCCCGGTGTGTGATGTTCCCCTTCCTGAGTCCAAGTGATCTCATTGTTCAGTTCCCACCTATGAGTGAGAACATGTGGTGTTTGGTTTTCTGTTCTTGTGATAGTTTGCTAAGAATGATGGTTTCCAGCTGCATCCATGTCCCTACAAAGGACACAAACTCATCCTTTTTTATAGCTGCATAGTATTCCATGGTGTATATGTGCCACATTTTCTTAAACCAGTCTGTCACTGATGGACATTTGGGTTGATTCCAAGTCTTTGCTATTGTGAATAGTGCCGCAATAAACATACGTGTGCATGTGTCTTTATAACAGCATAATTTATAATCCTTTGGGTATATACCCAGTAATGGGATGGCTGGGTCATATGGTACATCTAGTTCTAGATCCTTGAGGAATCGCCATACTGTTTTCTCAAAAGAAGACATTCATACAGCCAACAGACACATGAAAAAATGCTCATCATCACTGGCCATCAGAGAAATGCAAATCAAAACCACAATGAGATACCATCTCACACCCGTTAGAATGGCGATCATTAAAAAGTCAGGAAACAACAGGTGCTGGAGAGGATGTGGAGAAATAGGAACACTTTTACACTGTTGGTGGGATTGTAAACTAGTTCAACCATTATGGAAAAGCATTTCTTTAAAATGGGCTGTCCATTTAAAAATAACATACACAATACACACAAAAAGAAGAAAGGTAAAAATGACGTTTTGATTACCCATAATTTCACGTATGGGCAGTTTGTACATGAGTGAGACCCACAGAAGTAAATTTTAAGCATTTTAAAAAGTGAAAATTCCCACTTAAATGTTCACAGGGATCGCTGAATATTGAAAATATTGACTAGGAAGTGCTCTCCTGAGTTATAAAATTCTGTTTCTATTGTCACAGTTTTTAAAATAAGATTTTAAGCTAGACTTAATTATGGCTGGAAAAGTTTGAATTGTCCTGTTTGAATGGTAAGAGAATTAAAGCAGAAAATTGGTGTTTAAAGAATAAACACAAAAAACAGTCTATCTTGGCACTTGAATTATCTAAGATTGAATATCTTGTTTATTTATATTATTTTAAAGAAGTAAATGTCATACCTGTATTTGTGATATAGAATCACAACACTTTTGTCCTAAATAATGATAAATCTCAGTTAATCAAAGACTAGGAAATTCCAAGAACCTGTGGCACAAGAGGAACTGAAGACTTAATAACACAACCGGTTACCATGAGTTTGAACATATGTGTTTTCTTGGCAAACTTGCCAGTGGGCTTTCTGTTAACTTCAGTGTGGTGGGAAGAGGGGGCATCATTGGCTTCTGTCTTTTCTGCTATTTATATGGCATGGATAGTCTCTGATGTGACTCAGACAGTGTCTAGTATACATGAAGTGCACAGTGGAAAACTGGAAAATCGTTGCTCTGCTTTATACTGACCACACCAAGCCTAAGACAGAATAATCCAAACTACAAACTGAAGCTATAACCTTTTTTCCCTTCTTTCTTCTGGTATATATTCTCCCAATCAACCTTGAAAATTACTTCACCATTTAACAAGCAGTTGTTCTCATGAACAAATGGCCAGTGGAGGTATATTTATTTCCATTGCTACCTTGGCCTTGGCAAGCATTTCAGTTTCTCAAATCCCTTCACTTCAGTCTCCTTTCCTACTTGCATCCAATTCTATACTGGATTTTGTTCAGTTATTGGTCACAGGCAATGGAGAGATTTTTAAAGCCAGGGCTTTGTTTTGTGTACCTCTAATTTTTGTCTTTCATATCTGCCAGGTCCTGGCCCATTGCAGGGCATTTTGGGTAAATAAATAAATGAATAAATGGATAACTCTAAGTAAGAACTCTTTGTAGCCTTCGAAGCCACTAGCGTTGCCATTTTTCTGCTTTCTCTTTTTCCTCCAACCAAAGACAGCTCCCTTCTTTTAAACGCTTCTCCTAGGCTCTATTTTCAACTTCTTTGATCATTCCCTGTGCTCCTTCCTGACCCTCTCCAAGTTAGGGAAAAGATACATATTCTGCCTATTGGCAGATTTCAAAACATTTAAGATCAAAGTGAATGCAATGCTTTCTGGTTGAACCTTTCTGGCACTGATCCAATCACTAGGCAAGAGGATCACCTAAGGATGCTCCAAAATAAAGATGTTTTGATATTGTATTTGGGACAATGATAAGCTTCCTTGTAACTAACATGTTCTGAGTAAAGAAGCCTTATGATTAATGCATTAGGGATTGTAAGGATTTGTAATCCAGACTTCTACAGTAATTACTCTAAAACTCAAACTTGCTATATTATTATCTTGACTATAATTATCATTTTATTTATTACAATATAACTCAGGAACCTAATATTTTTATCCTCTCCACTGCCTCTCCTCTGTTCTACTCATTACCCAATGAAGAATTTGCTGCTGTTTGAATTCCTGCTTCCAGCCCCTGGTGCTGATGGATATGCACTTGACTTGCTAGCTTCCTGCCCTTGAGTTAGAGTCCGCTAGCTTTATTCCTCTTATCTGTCCCAGCCAGATGAAGGGAAAGCCATCAGGGCTAGGAACAACAGGCAAAACCCATGACAGATAAGTGTTCAAATCTTGCCCCTCTGGGAGTAATAGGCCTTGGGAAACAAGATAATGTGTTCAAGTCATGATGACTTGTAAGCCCAGAAAGTCCTCGAGGTTACAGAGTCAGCATTGCAGACTATAAAGAATGGTGAATGGAACCTGAGATGCCACCTTCTAAAAATAGGCCTTTTCTTCTTGTTCCTTTAAGCATGGGCTCCTAGTATTGGCTCCCAGTGATCAGCAGATCTTCAGGCTAATGATTTCATGTTCACCATTAGATGAAGTACGAATACTTCTTATAGTTTATGTTTGATTAACATCACCAGGAAAAGCATTTGTCCACACAATGGACAAGCCCCTCCCAGGGCTCTCAACTTCAGATTACCAGAATGAGAAGGACTAGAATTGGATATTTCAGGCCACTCCTGTCAGTCAGACCCCATGCAGGCCCAGCCTCACCCTGCAGGGCCTAGAGGGTAAGTTTATTAAAGAGAGACTTTCTTATAATACATTTATCTACTGGCACAAGTGGCATTACCTTTGAGGGCAACATAAATGATATCCAAATAACCAAAACTTTACACTTTTGCCTTGCAGTTATATATAATGCCTTCAGTAGAGTGAAATCCAGAATATTTGATTCTGGGTCATAAGAAAATCTTTGCACTCAAAATAGATAAAAGTGTTGACCTAAGGGGATTAATGCTATTTTAAGATATCTTTTTTTTCCTATTCCCTACTCTTTACACTTTTAGGATTTCTGTTTGCTAATCTGAAAAGCAAGGATTTCCTAAGCAACATCTAAGCCTCTTGCCAACTTTAAGAGTATGTTATGATAATTTCCCTTTCCCTTGTCATAATCTCTATTTCATCTCTCTAATCTCCATTAAAGTTTCTGTTCACTCTAATTTATTTTTATCAATACTCATAAACACTCTTAAGATACTTCCAATTGTCAAAACCTAATAATTTCCTGAGTACATGATAGAGATATACAATGTACTCTCTTGCTTTATTTTTCTCAATGGCCCTTTTACCTTCTGACGTATATAATTCACTTATTTTTTTAAAAATACTTTTTTTTCCACACTAGTCTGGAAACTCCATGAAGAAAGGGATTTTTGTCAGCTTTGCTTCCTACTGTGTCCCAGGACCTGAAAAAATAAATACTAATCATTTCCACAATATGTCAGATGCCCCATTTCCAATGCCTGCATTGCAGTTTTTTATGGCAACACCAAAACTAGCAAACTTGTTACAATTTTAACTTTCAAAGTTTATAAAAGCATAATTTGAAATGATGTTTTGTGTTGCATGTATGCTCAGTGATGATTAAATTCAGAATTTGCCTTTCATTTGTGATAGTGTTGCAGGACTTTTCCTTAGTTCAGCTAAAGATTGGGTCCCTCTCCATCCCCCAGACACAAAAATTTAGGCTTGCAGATGGTTTGAAGGGTGAGTGAAGCAGGGTTTTATTGGATGAAAAGAAAGAAAAGAGGGCCTAGCCAGGGTCCCTGCTAGAGCGCTGCCTGCCGAACAGTTTGAATTCTATGTTCCTCACAGGAAGAGGAAGGGCCAGGCTCCTCCCCGCTGCAAAGGGCACGGACTTCCTAAGGCTCCACCTCAGTGGGCAGGCAGGTTGGAGTTTTTCTGTCTTAATAGTAGGATATCAAATAAAACATATTCATGTCTGTGCACGAACTCTAAACTAAACTCAAATAGATTTGAAAATTTGAGAAACTTTTTTATTAGTATAAATATGTTTGGTCTATTGTTAATTTTGTCATATCCTCTTATAATTAGCTAAGTTTCATATATATAGTCTTGAAAATGTGGATGGCATTTATCTTTATGCTTAAATGTCTAAATATGATTAGAACAAAAAAATTACTTTTACCATTACCTTTTGTTTATATTTCAATAATTCTTAACATGAAATTGCCATGTACAATTTATTATATTGTGTTGTGACTGTAATCACCTAACTGGCATGCAAAAGTATAATACAAGTTAAGTTCTATGTTTGTGCTTATCCTTTATAATAATTG